TTTAAATTCATTTAGTTAACTTGGGCTGGGCCCTGGAAGAGGAGGAGGGGACCCTTCCCACTTAGGAGAAGGCAGAAAGGGCATGGGCCAGGAATTTGGGGGGGGGAGAGAGATGGAGGAGGGTGGGAGCCGGGAAGCAAAAGGGGATAATTTTGGTGAGATTCTTTTATTTGAAACGTCTCAAGTCCTTATTCCTCATTCATCAAGCACCAGGACCGTCTCTTTTTCTCGGCCTCTGGCATCTCAGTGGCTCCTGGCTTCAAGCCCCCCCCCTCACCACCCTACCCTCTCAAAGATTACGGTTTCGTTCATTAATGTACCATGAAAACTCTTTTCTCGGGCCTTTCAGAGGATGTCAACCAGCTAATCTTTCCCATTTTGTAACCAGAAATTCCTTCTCCTTTTAAAACAAGCATCCTCGGCCCATTCTTCGCCCTCCCTACCCCTCCGTCCCCCCTCCCCAATGTATGGCAACAACATTCTCCAAAGGCTAATGAATTTAGAATTAGCCGTTTCCCTTCCAAGTGACTTGAATGAATGCGGATCTCTTTAAACAGCGTGACAAATTGCTTTATGGACTGCGATGGACACATTTAACCTCTTTTCTCTCGGCCCTGGCCCTCGGGGTGGCTGTCCCGGCTCTGTGGGGTTTTTTTCCCAGGTCTCCTTTTCTCTGCCTCCCTTCGGGAAAGGGAGCTTTGGGGGGGGGGGAAAGGCTTCTGTTCTCTACACATTGGGGTGTGTGTGTGAAATGTGCCCCAACCCAGGGAGACGTCCTTCTGGACAGAGGCAAAATTGGGAGAAAGGGAAACACCCCCCGTCTCTTTCCTCACCCCCCACTACAAAAATGCCATCGATTGCAGAAAGTTGGTGTGCAGAAAAAGGATGGAGACATGGCATCGGGCATGAGTTCCACTGGCTAAATACGAATCAACAGGGCGCAGACATAGGCATCCTTCAGTCTCGAGAGACTATGGTAACATGCTCTGTATCGAGGTGTCCTCTCCAGAGCATGAAGCCTGGGTAAAGGAATATGGAGGATAGGCTGTTACCCAAGCGGCAAATCCCCCCTCTCCACGTTGCTGGAATGGTCACAGCCAACAAAATCAAGGTAGAGAATACACAGAGAGGGGTTTCCCATTCCTTTTTTCTGGCAGGGATCCCCGGGATGGTGCAGCCGGCCCAAGGCTACCCAGGCTGGCTCTTCTCTTCCCCCCCTGGAGGCCCAGTGGAGGGAGGGATTCAAACTCCCAACCTCTGGCTCCTAGGTCCCATCTTCCTTGACATTTTACTTTCCCCAATATTTTCGGTAAATAGCATTTCACAGCTATTCCACTTCATTAGGGTGTCCCTTTTCAGCCCCTTTCAATTTTTTTTTAATTGATGTTTCCTGTCTTAACTGGAGAACAGCTGTGTCTTTCTCTCTCTCTCTCTCTCCCCTCAATGGACAATTTGGGTAACATTTCTATTAGCAATTTATCTCCTGGATTGAGTAACATACAGAGGAATTAAATCCAATCTAATTAACCCAATTGAGCATGGAGCGCTGCGGAGATATACCGCAGAACTCGGCGTGTTAGGAAGATCTCATAACTTGATGGAGTGCGAAAAAAAAGACAGAGGTTAGGGTGTGGGGAGTGTGGTGGTCGTGCTTGGTTGGGGATTCTGGGAGTTGTAGTCAAGAAATGTAACATTTCTCAGATCTGAGATAGGCTCTTCCATGTGTGTGTCGCATCAGATTGTCTATAGGTTGGAATCAATAAGATGCAGGAAAAATATATACACAACCCTTCATCAGTAAAGGTGCAGAGAATGAGTCTTATTACAGGTGACACTTTGTCAAAATAGGTAGATATAAAGCGAAATTACAGGATGAATGTTCATCACAGCGATTTCATACCTTGCTTCGCCAATAGATTGAGAGAATCTCCATCTGGATATTGTTGCTATTTCTATGCTTCTGATGTACAGGACAAATGATCCTTTTATAACGGCATAAACCACAGAATTCCTATTCTGTAATATAAACACCTTCTCTCCCAAAGAGGTTGGGTCCTGAGTTTATCCAGGCGAGGAGATCACTGTGAGAGAGAGGCACGCAGAAAAGGATGTGGGTGTGAAGTCAAAAATTACAATTATATTGTACCTTGGAAATGAAAAGAGACAATAGATAAAGATTCTGATGATACATCCAGAAGTCTCTAGTATCTCTAGATGCTATGGAAGCTGCTGGTTCTGATACCAGTGAGATGGTGAAGCAGCTCCGAAAGGTGGTCCAAACTTTAAGGGAACTATTTGGGAGGGTAGGGTTCAGTACCTTGAGGAGGTCCCACAACGTTCAGGCTAAAATCAGGAGCACTTCCACCACCCCTGTGAAATCAGTCTCAGCCAGTAGCTCTTCCGTCTATGCAATTCGGTTGCTTGTGCCTCCTGCAACTTTGTGAAAACGCTCATATCTTTCCCCACGTTGCTTCATTTTCTTTCTGTTTTGAAGAGGTGGAAAGTAGTTACATAAATAAATTAAAGGATGTGTTTCCTACGCAACTCCAACACCTATACATGATCACTTCCTAAAATGTACAGTTAATCCTTCAGACAACTCCCATAGCTAAAATAAAATGGTTTAGATATAAGCCAGCTTAATTCGCTCTACTTCTTCTATGGGGACTGAATTAGAGGGAAAAAACAAATGCACAAATGTTTCTCCTTAAATGGTCCACGCATCAGGTTGTGTAAGTCTTGTGTTCCCAAAGTGCTCTAAGGGCCTCTGTTTATCCTCTTTTTCCTTTCAGTGTGTAAATTTAGCAAGAAGGCAGTAGAAATACACAGACAGCAAAATAAGTTTTATCTCTGTCATGCAGACCGTTTGCAAAAAAAAGAAAAGAAAAGATGAATTCTCCCAAATCTACGGATCATTTTCTCTGATAGTTCTCCTACACCAGTTTCTGGCATCTGTTTTGGGTCATTAAAACTCTGTATGGGACCCAGACACATAAGATGCAAGGGATACATTGCACATTGATGCCAATAAAAGATTAGACGGATACGTTTACACTCTTATAAGTTTGGGCAAAACACATTAATTTGCTTTCCCCTCTCTCTGTAAGGAACGAATGCGATACTCACATAATTAAGCCCAATTCAGGTGGCGAGTGATTTTAATTCTTTCAAGTGACTTGATCCACCAGTCCAGATTAAGCTCCGTTCTCCCCTCCAGTTTTTCAAAATAGGTATGCTTAATCGTGACCCTATGTTAAAGTCTGGATCCCCATCCATGCTGTGTTTAACTCCCATCTTTCTCCCTTCTCTCTTTCCTTCTCCTCCGCAGAGGTGCAGAAGCTATCCAGCCTGGTCCTGCCTTCGGAGGTCATCATCGCCCAGAGCTCCATCCCCGGAGAAGGGCTGGGCATCTTTTCGAAAACATGGATCAAAGCCGGCACCGAAATGGGACCCTTCACAGGCCGGATCATCTCGCCGGAACACGTTGACCTTTGCAAAAACAACAACTTGATGTGGGAGGTAAAAGCAGGACATTGAGTGATGTGTGCGTGGTTGGTGGGCCAGATCTTGAAAAGCAGGACATTGAGTGATGTGTGCGTGGATCAGTGGTGGTTGGTGGGCCAGATCTTGGGTGGACAATCTGCTCCGAGTTTTAGCACGAACTTTACAGAAGCTATTGGAGGTACTAGGTAGGCCCAGGACATTAGCTCTGTTTCAGGGTGAACTTTGCAGGAGCTGTCTAAGGTTCTGAAGCCCATCCCTAACACAGGTCCAGCACGTCAGAGAACTCTAGTAAAGTTCCAGCTAAAACCCAGTGCGTATTCACCGCTCCTTACAATCAGAATCGCTAGTCTTCATTGGCAGGGGTTTGTCTGTGTTTGGACACTTGCCCGCTCTGGCACATGGGGAACCCAGGTGCATGCTCTTCAACAATCTCACGTACTTTGCTGGGAATGATAAATGCCCTGTTGGTCTGTTCCTCCATTTTATTTAAATATTTATGAAAACTCCTGCCCTTTATCCAAAGATTTCAGGAGGATATGGCAACAGAACAACAACAGCTTACACAGTTTTACTCCGAACTTTAATGGAGCTGTCCAATACTGAGGAAGCGATTAAAGGGATGAAGATTCAGCACCTTGGAGAATTCCCCTAAAGTTCAGACTCAAAGCCGGCACGGATTCTCCGTCCTTTGCCAAATTGGCGCCACTGGCCTCAAACTGTTCTAAACATCTTTTCTGGCACTATAGATTCAGACTGGCAACAATTGTGTGCCAAGTGTGATTCTTTTTAAACTGACTCCATGGGCTTTCCGTACGTGATTCCTGCCAGCCGTTGAGCACTTCCTGTAGCCTTGTTTTTGTCTTCAAGGTCAGCCCCACTTAGCGTGGAGGGCAGTAGTCATACAATGCCATTTACAAACAACAGAAGGCAGCCAGTCTTTGTGACATCTATAAATGCATTCATGCATTGTCTTCTACATTGAAGAATATTTTAAATGCTGTTGGGCTGAAATGAAATGAGATCTTTGGACAATGAAGTATTAAAGTCATTATGAACCGCGTTGTTCCCATGCACGGATTCTGAGAGGATGCCTTGCCGTTTCTATTATCTTAGCAGTCTAAATGGCAATTTAACAATGTGTGAACCACATCCTGCGCATAAACTACGTCCTCTGATGTTTTAAACTCAAAAAACTCCAAAATAAGCAGGCGCCACCACGTGTGGTAAATTATGTAGAAACTGCCTGGTTAATTCCTGCCCTGTTCATCAAGTGGCAAGGGGTTCCGGGGGCAAAGCACTAAACCAAATAGAAGCTGATGAACAGGCATCCTTTGAGTATAATAGACTGGAAGTGTGTCTTTAGGGGCTGGCGTTTTTTTGGTTTTAGTTATTTATATTTGGCTACGAGAGAGAGAGAGCGCTGGAGATGGAGAGACATCTTTATAATCTCCTTTTAAAAAAATTTCTAACAAACATGTACGGAGTCACACAGCAGACCCGTCTCGAAGGCAGCGTATCTAGTTATTTATATTTGGCTACGAGAGAGAGCGCTGGAGATGGAGAGGCATCTTTATAATCTCCTTTTCAAAAATTTCTAAAAAACATGTACGGAGTCACACAGCAGATCCGTCTCGAAGGCAGCGTATTTACAAACTTCATATTCAGATGGGTTGTTTGTATCTTTTTAACCCATCAACCAGTTGTTCCATGTTTGCTGTTTAAGTGTGTTTATGTTTTCTCTTCTCAAAGGGAAACAACACTAGTTTTGAACAGAAGCAGAACAAAACACTAGCTTTGAACAGTTTGACCCTGATGAGAAAAAAAACAGCAACACAGGAACTAGCTTTGAACAGTTTGACCCTGATGAGGAAAAAAAACAACAACAACAACAACACAGGGTGCATCTTATCCTCCTCTCCTCGGAGGAAAGGACTCTCAAGGGTCTTAAATGTTCCTTATCATCCGTGTTTTCATCTGTTCCAGGCTGCTTTAAGGGATTAAGTAGATTAGCATTATTTACGTCTACACTTCCGCTTTGTATCCCTCAGGTCTTCAATGAAGACGGGACGGTCCGCTACTTCATTGACGCTAGCCAAGAAGACCACCGCAGCTGGATGACGTACATCAAGTGCGCCAGGAACGAGCAAGAACAGAACCTAGAAGTGGTCCAGATTGGCAACAGCATCTTCTACAAGGCCATCGAGGTAAGGAAGACGTGGGCAAGGAGATGTAGCGATGACATAAATAGTCGTCTTTAAAGTAATCCTTGGGAGAGGATCGATGGCCAGGTGTGGATCGGACGTCTTGGTTTCTCTCGATTTTCTCTCAGTGGTCCTCGGCCCACGGTTACCCCTTAGGTAATTTCATCCTACGTCCCTTTTCCCTTATTCTGGGAAATCATCTGTTTTTAGTTATTCTTCTTCTGATATTAGGAACGATGGCTGTTGAGGTTGACTCCACCTTAGTCTACAGCACCCTGGCAGTCGTAAATGTTGTAGACAGTATCCTTTTTCCCCGAATGAGAAAGCCAGTGTGTTGTAGTGGATGGGGTCCCTTCCAGCTCTGCCATTCTGTGATGGTAAGGGTGATTATTAATTTAGGAGTGGATCATCCACCTCGGGGGGGGGGAGTTCAAACCTGGATACCTGGGTGACCCACACGGTAGGCCCTTGTCTCTGTTTGCGGAATGCGTTCTCTGTGGTCGAAGGCGGTCCCTTCACCCGAGCGACCTCTTCTCGCTCCAGCGCCGTCTACGCCCGGCCGTGCTTTTTGCGGCATGCCAGCACTAAGTACTATGATCATGTGCCATCTCTCTTATCTCTTCTTTTGCCTCCTAATGGGAAAATAATACTTAAGATTTCAGCAAGGGCTGCTCGAGGGAGGGAGAGAGAGATTTTTCCCTCTCCTTTCAATACCTTTCAGCCAACGATCCACTATTTTCTTTTTTTTCTTTCAAAAGGAAAATAGCTGCTAAAGGGGTCGTGTGTGACGAGAAAGAAAATGCACAAATAGCTACTTTCTTCTAAGGAGACGCTGACCCTCTAAATTCTCGCAAACTGGGCGCCTGAGTGCTATCAAAGTTGGGTCGACGTGAGGCTTTGTTTTGGGATGGCCAGTTGCATGAACCTCTGCTCTCTGGTCATAATAATCATCTTAGAAGTGCAGAGCTTGGAGGGACCCTATAAGATCATCCAGTCCAGCCCCTGTCAAGGAGATGCAGTGGGGGGCGGGGCGAAAATCGAGCTCCCAACCTCTGGCAGAGCCCTAAACCGCTGATGACCCAGCATGAACTCATTAGGTTAATTACCATCCCTTCATCTTGTCCTTGGTTCAGCTTTCACCTAATATACAGTCAAGTTGCCTCAAACGTTTAGTGACCTGCCAAATTAGTGATCTCCAGGTCCTGACACTACATTTCTAGCTCTGCTTAGAACCCACTAGCTTCCTTATTGAGTCAGACCGTCATAGTTCCCATTTTCCTCTTTTCCTGCTCCCTTCAACTTTTCCCAGCATTATCGTCTCTTCCAGACAGTCTTTTCTCTTTCCGTGATGTGTCCTACTGTAACAGCAAAATATCTTCCCTTCTTTCTTTCTTTTCTTTCCCGTCTAGATGATTCCTCCAGATCAAGAACTGCTCGTTTGGTATGGAAATTCCCACAACACATTTCTGGGCATCCCTGGGGTCATAGGTCTTGAAGACGAACAGAAAAAGAACAAGCACGGTAAGGGAGAGGATTGACATCCGAGCGTACTGACCACCGACCCAAATGGCCACGGAAGGATAAGGATATTTTCCTTGGGATCACTTCCTCATCTAGGGTAGAAGGGTCTCAAGGGAATATTTGGGAGGTCATTCCAAAACTTGGTATATGACAAGGTTTCCCCCAAAAGTTTTCCCCCAATGATCCTATAGTGGGATGTATTTTAATTAAGACACTTGGCCTCTGTATATTTTTCAAGAGTCAGACTGGAGCCTACGTGCAATTATTTTCTTTTTAAGGGTTGCGAAAACTTTAAATGTTTAAAGGCTTCCGGGTCTCAAAACAAATTTAACCACACTTCTTGCTGACTTTGCCACGACTCTCGTCATTTGCAAAGAGGGTTAATAAATATTATACAATTGCATCAGGACCTCTGCGGGGGATCGGTTCCAAGCCCCCTCTCAAATGCTGGAAAATGGGGATCCTAGCAAATGCAATTATAAAAGCAAATGGTGTACATAGCATGGCCTCTGTCTCCCTCCAGTGGCCAGTTCTAGTAACTTCATCATGAAATATACGTATACATATTTTTTTTGAATTTTCTTTTAATATTTTTAAGCCGTGGATAAATGAATCAGCAAAAACTGATCCCGCAGATCAGGGTGGGTGGGTTCTACTGTAATACTATAGAGCATAATTGTGCCCGAAGTGATTTACCATTATATATATATATTTTATAGATTTTGCAGAATTATAAAGTTGAAGGGATCCAATTGCGGGTGTAAGATATGTGTCTGTGTGCGTGTGTGCAAATATATTAACAACATTATTTATCTCATTAACAACATATATATAGAAAATGGGCTTGATCCGTCCCCTTCTGTGGACGCAACTGTTCCAGGCATGAGTAGCTTTCAAGGTAGGGTTCTCCAGAGAAGTAGGGGCGGGGTTTGCTGGACGGCCCTGGCATACGGAAAGGTGCTGCATGCAGGGTTGGACCCAAATGCCAGAGGGGGGAACGGGGGGGGGACACACGAGGCTGCCCCGGTGGGGATGGATCATGCCCTAATTTTTTTTCTAGAAGCTTCGCTGAAATTAGGGCTGTAACACCTTATCCTTCAGCGCTCCGGATCTTATCAAGCCCCATTGCGCAGACAGCGAGCACTGTTTTCAGATATGGACTCCCCTCTTTTCTTCCTCTGTTAAACAGACACACACTCCTGGCAAATTCATCTCCCGAGCAATATTGCCCTTTACTCAAAATGTGTGCACAATTTAGCAACCAAAATGTTTTCTTGCTCAAAAAAAAGCATTTATGCAGATTTGCATGCACAGCTTAAAAATAATTTAACTCCTAAGAATGATTGACGGAACCCTGATATGATGGAAGAGATGTGTGTTGCAGCCCTAATTTAAAATACAGTACAGTAGAGTAGAAACCCCATATCTGGGATTTGTTCCAAGCTCCCTGTTCGGGAATGCTGAAAAACATGGATTATACTGAAGATGAGCCAATGTTGTACAGAGCATGGTCTCTGGCTCCCCCTAGTGACCAGTTTTGATAATTTCATCTTTAGAAATATATATATTTAGGACTTTTATTTTAATAGTTTTAATATTTTCAGACAGTGGATAAGTGAATCAGTGGATACTGATCCCGCAGATAAGGGGGTCCTACTGTGCATTGGATTATAATGACAGTTATCATTTCTCAAGGTAAAAAAAAAGGATCGGCCTTTTAAGAATGATCCCCATCAACTGATGTACCCCGTTGTCTTTTTCCTTTTCCTGCTCCAGAGGACTTCCACGGCTCCGAGGCGGGCGCCAGCTCAACCGGGCGCATGCGCTGCGTCATTTGCCACCGCGGCTTCAACTCCCGCAGCAACCTGCGCTCCCACATGAGGATCCACACCCTGGACAAACCGTTCGTCTGCCGCTTCTGCAACCGGCGCTTCAGCCAGTCCTCCACCCTGCGCAACCACGTCCGCCTGCACACCGGCGAGCGGCCGTACAAGTGCCAGGTTTGCCAGAGCGCCTACTCCCAGCTGGCCGGCCTCCGGGCTCATCAGAAAAGCGCCCGCCACCGCCCCCCCAACGGGACCCTGCCGTCGCACTCGCCCGCCTTGCCTGTGGCGCACCCCACCTCTTTGGCCCACCACATCCCCACCATGGTGCTGTGAGGACATCGTCCGAGGGGCCCCTGGCCGTGGGCACCGGGAGGGAGGAAACGGGGGTTCGAAACAGGTGGCTCAGTCAACAGCAGCTCGCCCGGATAACGTCTGGGAGGTCTCTCTAAGACTTTGGGCTCTCTGTGGATGGAAAAAGAACACTGGGTTGTATGTAAAACTGTTGCAGCATCTTCAGTTTTCATTAAATCCCTATAGCTACGCCGCAGGAGTTCAGGGATTCACAGAGCGGAAAAGCTTCAAGTATCCCAGAGTAGTCCACCTCTTTTCTCTTCAGTTGGCCCTTACAGTTTCAATAGCTGACTTTGAGACATGGGTAGGAGAAAGAATAAAAGGTTTCATTACTTACAATTGAACCGATCGAGCATCGAGGTGACGAACGTGACGGCTTTCAACCACAGACTTCGATAGACTGACTGACCTCTTCCGGTAGACTAAAGAGGGGGAAAGAGAGACTGAGCAGAGAGGCAGGGCTGTCTTTGAATTCAGAGGCAGGGAAGGAACGATCGGCCGGTACCGGAAAGGACGCTCCCAGCCAAATCTACATGCGAGGTTGCAAAAACTCCAGCAGAAATCGGGGTCGGAACCAGAAGGGCAGTTCTTGCAAGACAGCGAGAGGGCCCCAGGAGCTATTCTGATTTGGACCGAGGCTTTGCTGTTTTCATGGGAAGATGTAGGAAGGGGGCAGTAACCCCGAAAAGTCTTTCAAAATTTCTGTTCCGTTCCTTTTCCTTTAGAACTGGAGTGTCGTTTTGCAACCTCGGAGGCAGCAGGAAAGAAGGCTTTGCACTTAGCTACGGACGTTTTGAACGTTTGGGGGGTTTATACGCCTGCCAGGCTTTCCTAGGCAGTTGGGCCAAGGGGGTCATGCTAAGCCAGGGGTCTCAAACTCAATTTACCTGGGGGCCGCTGGAGGCAGAGTCTGGGTGAGGCTGGGCCGCATCAGATTTTCCATCAAGTGGAGCAAGAGCCCAAGGAAGCCGCCCAGGAGTTTCCTTAGCCGGTAGAGAGGCGGGCTGGCTGGCAGGCTGCAGTTCCGGATGGAGGGTGCAAGAGGCGCTGTCTTGGGAGAGAGCCGGCGAGCAAGGCGAGGCTTTGGGGGGAGCATGCAAGACAGGGGCCACAAACTATCATCCGGCGGGCTGCAAATGCCCCCCGAGCTGCACGGGCCGCATGTTTGAGACCCCTGTGCTAGGCTGATGATTAGGTGTGGTGTGGTTGTTGTTGTTTGTCACCTCTGGAAAGCGCTGGGGCTGGGGAAAGAGAGTACGCTCAGCCCGCGAGGGATCTCCCGGTTTTCCCACAGAGAATAATCATCTTAGATCTGCAGAGCTGGAAGGGACCCTCTGGATCATCCAGTCCAGCCCTTGTCAAGGAGACCCGGGTGGGGTGGGGAATCGAACTGCCAGCCTCTGCCAAAACTATTGGGCTATTCTGCCGTTCCTAATAGTCTGCCTTCCTCATCTCTTGGTATTTTCCTGCCTGCAGAGCGGGCCATCTCAGTTTTCCTGTTCACTGCCACTCCTCCTTTTCCTGGAAACCTGAGATCCAGTTTAAAAAAAGAGAGGGGGGGGAGAGAATCTTTTGTAAGATATACAAACAAGGTTTTTTGTTTTAAATAAATGAATGGAAAATACCTATGCTGATCCTGAGAATATCTATTCCTATTGTGAGGATGAGATGTTATAGTGTTGACAAAGATAGCGTTCTGCTTCCAGGAAAAAAAAAATTATCGTCACTTTAACTGTGTAAATAATTCGTGTAAAACAGTATTTACAAAAACTTTGATATTATATAATATTTGATGGGTCTGATGTACCACCGCTGTATATATCTTTGTACTTCTCTTGCTCTCTTGTATTCTAAATAATAATTAAAAAGATTTTAAAAAAACACACCTCGATTTAATATAAGAGGCTGACCTTTTTCTTTGGTTGGGCGCTGGGGTTGGACAAATCCTGAATTACGGACCGAATCAGCGTGATTTTGGGTTGATTTGTATCGGGTCCAGATGGAAGCGGAAGGATCTGATCTGTTTTTTTGGAGTGGAGCGAAGCCAATTTGCGAATTGCGTTGGACCCTGGGCAAAAACGAAAGTAGGTGGAGGAGCGAAGCCAATTTGCGAATTGCGTTGGATCCTGGGCGAAAACGAAAGTGGCTGGAGCACAGATTTCTCTCTCTCTCTCTTCCTTGAAATCTCTCCTAGCCACACAAAATCTAAAGGAGCTCCAGGATACGAAACCCTGAAATCTGGGAGAATTATGCCTCTGGTTAGGGGAGATTGCGCGGATATTGGCAAATCTTGGTGCTCAACTCCCAAGTCTGACTCTTTCATGCCAAGTCCCAAGTCTGAGTCCCTATAGGAGCACGGTGCGGCTTGACCAAAGGAACACACAGGCAGAAGGATAGCTAGCCACACACGCTTCGGGTGACCGGTCGTCCCCTCTTCTGCGAGACACGGCGTGAATGAGACTATCTGACCCCTCACCCTACAGCCAAGCGCTTCGCCTGCAACCGGATACGAATCCATATTCTTGTTCTTCTCATACGCTTTCAGGTTAGGACACTCCGAATGAAGTTTTTGAGGCATGGGGAGATAACCCAGGAATAGTTTATCTCTACCGTCCCCCTCACAACTTGTGAGTTTCTATATAGCTGAGTGTGGATTTGAACTCAGGACTTTTGGATCCTAGCCTGACAGTCTATTATCAGCTACATCACACTGCTGCTGGTAGAAATGCACATAAATTAAAAAAAATACCCTCTGTGCATGTATGTAATGTGTCTGCGAATGATTTTTAAACATCATGGCCCTGACATGCAATACAAGGGATTAAAAAAAGAGATCAAAGAAATTAAATCAGTTTTGTCAGTTCCACAAATCAACACTGGGGGGCAGCACAGGACTGCATTAAAAAAAATCCAGGCTCACTTCGTGCTGGCCAGATTTTCCATATTATTCTATACAGTAGGTAGGCTATGAGGCACTTCCGCCCGACTTAAAGATGGCGGCTAAGTGGCCCATTCAATAGCAGAGACCACCTGAAGCTGCTACCAAAGGGATTACGACTCTCCACAATGAAAGAGAGAGACATATACTTCCGGCTTCCAATCGAAGGAGTTTGAGACGTGGGTGATTTGCCAAAAAGCAGTTTATTTTGCCGGTTTATGGCCAAGTATGCAATTCAAAGGACAATGCCACAACGCCTTCCTCCAAAAAAAAAAAACCAAAGAAGAAAAAAAAGCGATTGCATTTGAGTTTAATTTAAAATGCGTTTTATTTAATGGTCGAAAACAGGGAATCCCAGCCAAAGGAGGAGGAGGAGGGGTGTTGGAATGGGAACCGGACGTGTGATATAATTTCCCCCACTCCTTTCCTCTTTGTCTCCCCGCAGAACCTTCATGACGTGCCTAAAGGAGGCGGGGCCCGGCGCCAGGAGTTTATATAGCGGAAGTGGCGTCACCCGCCGGGCGGGCAAAGGCGCTTCCTGCCTGGATGCCAGTAGCCAAGATGGCGGCGGCGATGGAGGTCCGGATGCCCGCTGCTCGCCCGAGGATGGCGCCCAGCTTGCCCACGGGGGGATCCGGCGACCGGGACCTGGTGGCCCCCGGGGACACCATCACCACGGACCCCGGGTACATGAGGTGAGGAGGAACCCCGGCCTCCCCCTGCAGAATCCGGCGCCTGCTGGGTCCCTCTTGCCACTACAAAGCCCATCCTCCCGCTGCTGATGGGCGTTGTGGTTGTCCGGGGCAGCTGGAAGGTGTCTCCCCCTTGCTCGCCTTCTTCCAGCCCGTCCGGGGCAGCTGGAAGGTGTCTCCCCCCCTCCCCGAAAAGAGGTTGCCCCTGCTCGCCTTCTTCCAGCTCTTTTCTGGAGGCTTAAGCCAAGAGTGAATGAATGAATTGATTTATTACAGGCGGGTGACCAGCTCATAAAACATATTTATGGTTAAAAATGTGCAAAATGCAGTTTATAAAATGTGCAACCCATTCATAAAACATATTACGTGGCGAAAATAGACAAAACGCAGTTTAAAAGTGTAAAAACCAGTTCATAAAACTGGTTAAAATACACAAAATGCAATTTAAAAAAAAGGTGTACAGCTAGTTCATAAAACATATTATATGGTTAGAATATAAATATTTCCTCCCTTCGGTTGGGGTTAAGGCCAAGAGTGCCTCTGTGCATGGGCGGAATGAGGCAATGGGTAAAGCTCAGCTTCGGTGCCGCGTGGGAAGTAGGGCTAACATGATTTTACTAATTGTCGCGTTGCAAATGGCTGAGTTTTATGCCTTGCTTTCTTCCTCGGAAGGGCCTTCGTTGAATCCTCTTGGAGATCTACACGAGGACCCCATATCTGCGGGGGGTGGTGGTGTTTCCAAGCCCCCTTCCCGTGGATGTGGAAAAACGTGGATAAGAGCAAACACCCAGGAGTTTCATGGCAGAATGGGGTTTAAACCCTGGTCTAGTACTCTCTGACTTGTTGCAATCTGTTTTAGCTGCTTTTTTCCCCCAAAACAAAAAAAATGATCTGGATAATTGTCTGCAGTATTAGAAATGAACGTTTGTGTTGTGTTGCATTAAGGTTTTGTTTACAGTCGGTTTTCCCCCTCCGTTCTTTTCTTGGTTCAGGGGCCACGGGACCTACCTAGGAGATGAGAAGCTTATTGCCTCGGTGGCCGGCGTCGTGGACCGGGTGAACAAGCTGGTCTGTGTGAAGGCGCTGAAAACCAGGTAAGAGCGGTTTCAAACCCCGGAAGGGAAACCTGTTGCACCCAGGAGCAACAAGAGACTCTAAATGCTGAAATAATTACGTTTGTGTTGCCAAACTAGCTCGTCCCAATCAATTTAGGGATCACTGTTCCATAGACAGACGTAACGTGTGTGTCCGGACAAATTTTAGACACCAGGGTTCAAAGGTTTCCAAATCTAACTGTAAATTGTCTTGAAAAGTGTGCAAGATAAATGATGCTTTCACAACAGTTGTAGTTGAGTCATTGCTGGTCTTCCTAATTTTGCCAAACTGAGAGCTTTTTTTAAAAAAAAACCTCTGATCCCAGTTAACTCCTATAAGGATAGATTCAAACTTGCTAATGTCAGATTTTTTTGCTCAGCACATTATTAATGGTTTCTGGCCAAAGATTTGTGGCGATTTTTTCTCTGTAGTCTTCCTGACTGAGTTGCGTCCACTTTGAAAAGATGTGGGAAGTTACCGGCTCAAAAAGAGCGAAATTTGAGAGATATTTTTCTTTTGTTTTGTTTGCAGGTATAATGGTGAAGTTGGAGACATTGTAGTTGGGCGAATTACAGAGGTATGGAGATGATTCTCCCCCCCCCTTTAAATCCCGTATAATCTGGTTTTCATATTTTAAAATAATCAATTCTATTGGTGCCGTCTGTTTATTTTCCTTAGGGGATGCTGAATACTAGGTATAGTCTTAAACTTTTCTGCGTCTTTTTTCTTTTGACAAGGTTGTATATATATTTTAATCATGTTCTTTTTGAGATGGCGGCTCAGAACGCTGCTCAAGTGCGCTAGAAGAGTGAAATATGGGATGATAATCTGTAAACTTTTTTTTAAAAAAAACGACATCTCTATGATGTTTATGTTGCATTTACTTCGATATATTTTGTTTTAGCTGCTTGTAAACAGCTCAGAGTAGTGCTTCGGCACGAATGGGCCGGTATATAAATCAAAGTAATAAATAAATAATAAATATGTTTTTTTTAAGGTTCAGCAGAAGCGATGGAAAGTTGAGACCAATTCCAGGTTGGATTCTGTCCTCCTGCTTTCGTCTATGAATCTTCCCGGAGGGGAGCTGGTGAGTAGCCCAAGACGACGCGAGAAGGAACGGAGTCCAACTGGCAAAAGAAGACGTGGTAGTTCATTTGCGACTGCATCGGGTTTCTTATCGACATTTCTAATGCTTTTTAAAAATGTCCTTCTAAACCACCTTTTCAATCTTAAATTGGGGGCATCAGATTAAAATCCTTTTGGTATTGTATTTCTGAGTAAAAGGATATTGGTTCTGTTAGCACAACCTAGTAAAGACAAGGAAAGAACATTACTCTGTTACTACAGTTTCCATTTTTCTTACCCATGTTGTGTTACCTAGTAAACCCTGTGTCTTTTTATATTTTATATTTAAAAAGCAGCGTTAGAGAAACCGAATTCCTGTATTTCTCACACAGGACAGAGATTCCCCCTTGATCTATTATTATAGCTAGGCAGTTGGTTTTTAAAAACTCATTCAACTTTGATTTCCCCAAAGCTGAATCCGCGGGATGGCCAGTCTGCTAATTTTGGCACGCTTGTGTATGTATGTTTTCTTGCAGAGACGAAGATCAGCTGAAGATGAGCTGGCCATGAGGGATTATCTGCAGGAAGGAGATCTTATTAGCGTATCCTTGATTTTCTTCAGCCTGGTGTAGGTAGAGACACAGGGCTGTGCAAAGGTGTGGTTTTGTGTTCTTGGACTACAACTTCCAGGATTCTGTGGTCACGCTGCCCCAAGAAACAGGTTGTAGTCCAAAAACTCAGATGGGCATAATTTTGACATAGCAGAAAAACCAGGAGCCCTTCCGGCTGCAAGAATATTCAGTAGGAACTTCTGGATAGTGCAGTGGTTAAAGCATGATAACTGCGTTCTGTACCTGGTTTTGCCCCTACATAGTTATGTTAAAGACCTCAAAGGGGAAAAAAAAAGTAAGGCAAAAGAAGGCACTCCTATAAATTAAGCTTTCTTCTCTGGCCTGCTGGAAAGGGCAGTGGATCACCCTAGGCGACCGGTCTGCCTACAGGATTTAACCCATTGGGTCCTTGATGGGTGGTAGCTTGTTTGGGGAAGCTTTGGCCAGCCTAAGGCAAGTTTGTGCTGTGTTGTGGATTCCTGCAAATACGGTGTTCGTGATTTGGACCATCTCGGGGTGTCCTCTCATTTCCTTAAGTCCTCCTTCCAGGCAGAAGTCCAGGCGGTCTTTTCGGATGGGGCGGTATCCCTCCACACGCGGAGTCTGAAGTATGGAAAGGTGTGTTTCGTTGCTCATGGCAGTGGCTTCTGTTTTTCTCTCTGTTCCTTTTATTTTATTTTATTTTTTTTGGCGAGGGGAAGGGACGCCCACTTGCAGCTGCTGGATTTCTGCCCCAGGAGCTTCTGGGAGGGCAACGTGCAGATTTCTAGACTCCACAATGTTACCAGAACTGGCAACTGGAAGGAGCTAGAGACCACGCTATGTGTAGCATGGGATCCCATAATGAGAGTTTGCTATAATCTGTGTTTTCAGTAACCGCGGGGTGGCTTGGAAGCGATCTCCCGTGGACACCTACTATACAGGTGGTTTTGAAGCTGATTCGTTCCTTTGGCCGCATTTTGAGGTCTCGGAGACCTCAAAATAAATCCTCCAGAAAAATCTTACCCTATCCTAGAAGCTTCAGCCTCAAAAATGGCAAGAACTTTCTATCTTTTGATTTCATTCGTCAATATTCTGGCCAAATCACACCGTGGCTAGCAGAATAGCCAATCCAAGGATGATGCATGAAACGGAAATCATTGGCCTACCTCCCCTGCCCTGGGCTTTTGGTTTTGGATTTGGTCTTTGTGGTGCTGTTCGGAGATCCTAAAACTTTTGGGTGCTACTGGAGAAACGATGACACTAGCTCACTGTAAGTAAGGGTTGCATTTCAAAAAAGAGTCTTTGGCTTTCCTTTATTCTCTTTTTTCCTCCTCTTTGTCGAGACGCGACTCTGCAGCTTTGTGCAGGGGGAGAGTTCTTATATTTCGATATCCCCGCGTTTGATAAAAGGTAGGAAGAGTCTCTCTTGACTCTTTGGAGCGTAGGTTGCTGCGGGAGGGATTATCCTGTTCCCGGAGTCTTAGCGGCGACTTAAAAGATGAAAGCGGAGTGTGATTATGGAATCAAGGGTGAAAGGACAACAGTGGGATTAAAAGTGGGAGGCATTTGCTGAAGCGAACTGCTTGATCCTCCATAGACCTGGGGGGGGGACACAAAGGTTTTTCTGTGCAGAAACAAGATATAATTAATGTTTTTGCTAAGTGCAGTAGCATTCTCCACCTTCTCAGTGTTCACAAGTAAGGTGCGGGTGTTTTCTGCCTCTAAACGAATTGTAGGGAACCAGCACATCCAATAAAAACCAAAGGATACAGGAAGAAATAGTCTCACGATGTCTTGGGTAGAGAACAATATGTTGTGTCTTTATTAAGTGGTGGAAAGCATTAAAAATTTCATTGCTTAACACGTTTCAGCAGGGCCTTTATCAGAAGCAAAATCTTTATATTTCTCTGGTCTGTATTGGCTCCGAAGCTAAGCTCCAGACATCCTGAGACTTTCTGATTGTAACTTGCAAACTCCCATATCTGATTAAACAGCTTTCTTGGCCACCAAGCATTTATTTTTTTG